CTCAGTCTGCCAGATTCCAACCCCGCTACTTTCCACTGCATCTGCTCCCCTCACTATAGTTCTCTTCCAGACTAATGAATATTTTTTAAAATGTTTGGATCTTTCCATCTAGACTCACCAGACCTGAGCAATCTTATATTCTCTGCCAGGTGGGTTCTTAGTTTTACAAGGCCTTCAGAAGCCTCACCCGAGAACTTCCTAGCCAGCCTTGTTTGATCAGATAGTACCAAAGAGTAACACTAGCAACAATAACAGCTAAGATTTATGGAATTTAAATGAATTTGCCTTCAGGCTAAACACTTTAAATGGATCATCTTATTTATTTCTTACAAAAATGCTAAGTACTGTTACTTTATTACTTCACTGTTTTAGACAGGAAAACTGAATACTGTAAAGGTTATATAATAAGGTAAAGCAATGGTAGAGATAGGATTCACTTTGACAATAGTAAATGGGGTTTTGTTTTGTTTTTTACCTAACATGCTTTGTTCCCTCTGGTGATGAACTTGACTCTTTGCATTCCAAACCCTTTCAAACCTAACTACTTTCATAATTAACTAGCATTCCCCGGCCGCTTTTATTTGACCTTCCTCTTTTTTTATTATTATTAATTCCTACTCAGCAGTAGTTACTCTGGCTTAAGGTGTTATTTTTCCTCAGAAATAGATTTGTACCTAAAGAGAATTTTCCAAGCAGGAATTATACTACAATGTGTTTGGCAATGGTGGTAGCTTCAGGCATTCTGTTTAGTGATAGCCCAACTATTATGGGCCCTACAGCCTACTCCACTGAAATATCATCTTGTCCACCACGGAAATCTTTTAAAGTCTTAACCTTGGTGAAGTTTAAACTATAACCTAAGCAAAGGATTATTTTAGTGCCTGTTCTTTAAAAGGGAGTTGGGTGATGTCTCTTAAAGAAATAAGAAGAGCATCCCTCCTTCTTACATTCCAGAACCCGCTTGCATGAGGAACTTTGTATTAGTGATATGGATTTAGATTTCAAGAAGTCTGTGGAGTCCTCTCTGACCGAAGAGATGCCTGAGACCAAGTCAGAGCTAAACTGGGGGTTCAGGGGGTGGGGTGTGTGTGAACTACTATAGAAGTCTCTTGGAAGTTCAATCTAACTTTATTCATTTATTCCGTAAAAGTGTTTTGCATACAGGCACTGAACTAGCTTCCTGGGTTTTTCTTACTTTGGCCAAGATGTAAAAAGTCTGTGCCTGCCCCATAACAGAGTAATATCTGCAGAGAAATCTTAGGTTTTAAATTCTTACAAAAGGTGACAAAATATTCTATATACTATATTCTATATTCTATATATGAAATAGAGAAATTACTGGTATTTTCCAAGATAAGTGTCAGAAGTTTCTGAATTTGAACCGACTCCAATTAATATATCCTGGAATATGATTTCTGTTAGTCCAAAATTTATCCATTTCCAATGTCATGAAAATAGCATGGCTGAGATAACCATGTAACAGGTAATATGCTTGACTTTGGAATATTAAGTGCTTTTCACTGTTGCAAATATGAAAAGATTATGTTTGCCTTAACCCAAAGGATCTATAACTTAGTTGGAAACAATTCTAGAATATGATTAGACAATACATAGCATAATGTGAAAATACTTATGTCATAAAGACCCTATGTTGACCCTGTCTTTTTCTATTTTTTTATAAATGACTTAGATAAGATGTAAGGCATCCTTACTAAATGTCTGGAAGTGAGGGATATATTGATTTATAAAAATAATGACTCAATACACAAGAACTTTGTGCTGAGAACAAGAATTAGCAAGTTTAAATTAACAGAAACAAATAGAAAGCCCTGCATTTATTTTCAAAAATTCAATATGAGAAGTAGAGTATGGGAGAAATCTTCAATTTTCACATTCAAAGAAATCTTGCTGACTTTTGAATTAACCTAAGTTTTTATTCAATATCCTAAAATGCTTTCGAGTACCAGGCACCATGTAGGCATGGTGGACCTTACCACTTGGTGCATCTGCAAATGCAAATTCATACATCTAGAAGGGACAGCTCGATGGAGAAAACGTGTTCACAGGTTGAAGTGCATCAGCAGTAGACACAACACTCAGAGGAGGTCATATTTGATAAAATAGCCTATGGAAGAAAGAGACAGGATTGGTGAGTGACAGGGAAACCAGGCAGGACAGAAATATTGAGTAACCACAGGATGTTTAGTCTAGAGAAGAAAAGATTATGGGACTTTGATGGTTGTTTTCCAGCATTTAGAGAGCTATTGTGTGACTATAAGGGAAGGCTTAAACTCCTTTTGGGTTCTTTCAGTTAGACCAATGGGTGAAAATTGTGGAAGGATAGGTTCATTCTGATATCTTCAGAAGTTTTTCTGCCAACCTCAGAAGAGTCTGAGAATTCCACCAGAGGCTGACTGACCATTTATCACATATCCAGTTTCCTTCTGGAAAAACTAGAGTTGGTCAGTAATTGGGATGAATGATCTTTGAGAATCCCTCTGATGCCAATTCTTTTGTTTTCCAAATGAAGTACAAAATAACAGAAGTTTTCATATAGTTTTCTCAGACTGATGTGAATTTTGCTAGCTACAACTGAGTGTGTTTTACCATCTTCCTTCCCTTCACCGGCTGACACAACCTCGACTTAGTTAACAGAATGTTGTAGTAAATCTGTTCCAACCATTCAAATACACGCTGATCCACTTAGGGTAAAATGTGACTCCATTCACCCACCAGTAGGACATGTAAATGCCAGCTCTGACCAAGACATACAAGCAAGGAAAACTTTTGCCTCAATGTGAGGTAAATGGTGAAAGAAAGTTCACAGTCCAGAATCCAAAGGATAGAGCACATACAAGGTTCTGCATACAGTCCGCAGTTCAAGGCATGTCTTATGGTCCCCTCACCCATCCAAATGCCAGAGAAGGGAGGCACCTCTCAGCTCCCTGGAGCTGCCCTAATATTTACTGCATCTCCCAAGGTGCACAGCCCAGGCTGGCATCGTCTGGACACTTGCTATGTTTTCAGATGGGCCCAGCTGTCACAGTACAGCTAAGAAAAGAAAAAGTTAGCATATCCTCAGCTGGCCATTCCTGTAGTAAACTTTTCAGCAAGAAGCATTCAGTCAAAAAAATGTACAATTCTAGGGAAAAAGCCTAATGAAATATTTCTGCCATTAAGTTTCTGTCACTGAAAACTCTGAATGTACCTCTTTGTTTCTTGCCAAATACATCATTTGAGTATCATTAACCTGCCTGAAGAATCATTGTTTATCTTACAAGGTTGAAATTTTACTGCTTTAATATTTATAGAGTTAACAAGTAAACACAGATACAAGCTCAGTTTTAGCTATTACCATTAACCAGAAGTCATGTGACAGTCAGGCATTGTATCTTGTTTTTAAATTGAAAAGCTTAAATGATTTGAAAATCATTTTGAATGGAACTGGCTAAAACATAGGATTAAGCTAAAACAAAATTAGTTGTATGATTCCAGAGTTACAGAGACTTTTATAGGACTTCAAATAGTTACTAACAATAACAGTGGTACTGTTATTCAGTGAGCAGTAAATATAAGTAACATTTATATTAATATCTGATAATTTCATCAAACTAAAGAACCATAATTATAAGTGAAGCATAGTTTTTTTTTCAAGAAGGCAGTTGCCGTCCACTAATCCATTGACAAAGTGGAAGCTGAGAAATTATGAAGGCAGTCATCACAACAAAGGGGAAAAGCAGTAGCCAATCCCCTTTACCCAAATCATTTAAGGATCCACTCATTACTGTGTTTAAATACCCAGGATATCCAAAATGTGGTTGTTTTTCTATAAAACATACTCCAATAAACAAATCCGGGATTGACTTTCTTTTTACTTCTAAAAAGGACAACATTTCACAGCTGAGTTTTATTTGATTAACCTACTTCAATCAATTTTAATCCAACTGTATAAACCATTTTAACAATAGATGAGTGATAAGATACTTATGAAGTAATACTAACACTCAAGCTATATTGAATTTGTTTCACCTACATAACAGCCTTCCAAAGTAATTTCTATTACTATCCTGCTTTAACAGAAGAGGAAACTGAGTACAAAGAGTTTTAAGGAATTCGTGTAAAATGACACAGCTAAGAATCTCCAGAGGAGGAATTTGAATCCAGATAGCCTGCTGGTTCCAAAGTCTATGTATTTATATCGTCTCACTGTAATGACACCTAGATAAAACTTAAAATTAATCACATTCCTTGTGTACCAAGTACTGTGTGAAGCTATAGGTAGGTAGGTAGGTAGGTAGCTAGACAGACAGACAGACAGATAGTCAAGTGTTGCGTAGTGATAGGGATGCATCCTGAGAAACGTATAGTTAGGCAGTTTTGTAATGCAAACATCATAGAGTGTATTACACAAATCTGGATAGCTGCACCTACTGTGCACTTGTACATATGATATAATCCATTGTTCCTATGGCCTTGATGAACAGATCCACATGACGTTAGATTAAGCACAAGAGAAAATGATGCAATCCAGAGATGTGGTAAGCAGAAGATGTGTGAGGCTGCTGCTGGCATAAGATGATATTCTCCTGTATGGTAATGGTAATTTTTCTTAGTATAAACAGGAGTACATACTAAATAAACAGAAAGTGGGACCAAAGTAAATATATCATCTAGCCACAAAGTCCTTGATTATCATTTTCATGTATTATGTAGTGTACATACTTGTATGTGCTACACTTTTACATGACTTCACACTAGGATCTCCACAAACATGTGATTAACACATCATGTTGTGATGTTGTTAGTGCAGCACGTGACTGTATTATCACATTAAATTTACAGGCTGGAACACTTGGATACAGGTAAGAGGGATAACAATAGAAGCATTATTCTATGTGCCTTTGGCATAACATGCTAGTTTGAATGTACTCATAGTCTCTGTGTCATATGACTGTAGGATGATGGTAAAATGAAGTTCTTTTATAATGTCTTTCTTGCAGGGGTGGAATGGTTCAAACCAGTGAGCAGTATGAATTTGTGCACCATGCTCTGTGCCTCTATGAGAGCAAACTTTCAGCAGAAATTGTCCAGTGATTCACTGAAGACTTACCAGATCATCAGTCTCTTGGGGCGATTAATCAATTACTCCTTTGAGGCTTCTTGAAGAAGCTTCCTGCAATGGAAGGAAAGAGGAGCTCTAAAGCTTACCTGTGGCATGGATTGTGGACAGCTTGGCAACATATGCAAGATTGCCAGCCCTTGTGTATAAGAGAGCATTCGTAAGCATCCCCTAAATTATTCAGAAGGTCCTATGCCGATGAGGTATGATAGATTTCTCACACAGCATAAGGTGGATTTCCTTTTGTCTATATATTGACTATCTGCCACCCAAAATGTATGCGTGTAATATCCGTTGATAACTGTCATCAGGTGATGACTGGAAGAGCTGCTGAAGAAACCATTATTGTGTGTTTAGATGCTTTAATGTTTGCAGAGTCTGTCTTGTGAATGGACTGGCAGCTGTTCACCTGTCCTGTGTTAAGTGCTATTACCTGTCTCAGTTAACAGAACCTTGCTGCTAACAATTGCAAGTGACTGATAATAGATTTTTAACAAATAAGTTTTTGTTTTTGAAAAAAATCAAAAGCAGTAACTATTTTATATGGAAATGTGTCTTGATAATATTATCTATTAAATGTGTATTTATAGTACCTCCTATCAATCAATTACAGAGCACAATGATTGTCAATGGATATATATGTATTACTCTTATTAGGCATAGAGACGCTCCCACTCTGGAACTCTACCCACTATATTTCTACATTGTGACTTGTTTTACTTCAGAAAAGGAAAAAATTTGTAACAACTATGAAGTGTCATGAATTTTAAATACTGGTCTCTCTTTGCTAAGGAGGGATCTTTGAATATGCTACCTACCAGGAATCCTTCTCCCACTGAAAGGCTGATGCCCTTGGGGTTGATGCAACCTGTTCCCTTTCCAGAGGTTCTTCCTAAGAACACTCCCTCATATGTCCTTACATTTCTGAAAGGTTTCATCCTCAAGAGACAAAGTTCAAATAACTACACTCAGCAAACACCTAGATGTTCTGCTCAACTATGAATTTTTAATGCAACAATGTTGACTTTGTTTCATACTGCCAATAAACTGCTCTTAATACTAAAATATTGAGTAAAGTCTATTCTTCTCCTTTTCTATTTGGAGACAGGCTATTATCTGTTTGGGGAACCCTGAAGTAAGTAACATGATGTGTTTAATTTTACTTTCTGCATCTGCAGAAAGTGGTGATGACTCTCTCAAAATGTAACATTATCATTACTTGAGAGATAATGACCTAAAAGTGCCATCATCATGTAGTTTTCCTCATAGACTCCCAACATATCACTATACAAACAGTATATGTTTATGTCTTTATATCACTTCTCATACACCCTCATAAATTGCCTGGTTTGCATATATTCAGCAGAATCACATCACATGAAAAGATGTAATGTTACAAGGGCATTCAATTATCTAAGATTACAATTCCTTTCTTTCTTTTTTTTTTTTTTTTGGTACCGGGGATCGAACTCGGGACCTTGCGCTTGCGAGGCAGGCAGGGAACCACTGAGCTGAATCCCCGGCCCAACAATTCCTTTCTTCCCTCTTGAGGTTAAGTCATGTGCCAAAGAGATGGTAGGTAGGTGACAACTTAAGAAGGTTTATTCTGCTCCTGGAGGCTATATCTACATTTTTTAAAAGAGAAAAGTAATAATAATCCTTTCTTTCTAAGGAAACAGACAAAAGGACACTGGTGTAAAACTTCCCCCAAACAATTCAATTGGAGGAAGTGCTCGTCACTGACTTTTCCCCTCACCATGAAGGCACATTTCCTTCCTAGTCTTTGCTTCTCTTATCTGGGAGAATTTTTTTTTCTTCCCAAGCGAAGCGTGAACAGTTGTTAAGTGGAAAATGGAGGCTGAATTTTACATGGCGATTCTTACCTGCTTGATCTTCACAAGTTCGGGTGAGTGGGTCTGCCTCAGTTTCCTGAGGTATCTCTCCCAAATCTAACCGAGGAGTCCTTGACCTTTTGAAAAGTGTTGAAAATGAGGCAGAAATGCAGTGAGATCTTCATGGCAGGGTAGCCAAAAACAATGAGATGGGGGAATGGAAAGGAGACAGCTGTGCTCGCACTGCTGAGATCTCTCTCCTACAGCAAATACATGCTCTCTTCATGTCCCCTGTGCTTTCAGGCAGCACAGCTCCTGAAAGGGGTCTTTACAGCACCCAGGGAAGAACCCTGAGGAGAAAGTTTTTATTATTAGGTCGCAGGCTGTAGAATTACCCCTATTTTTTTCTATTCAGGTTATAGTTTTACTTTCTTCTGTGTGAAAGAAAAACAAACTTAAGGAATATAATTAAAGAGGTGAGGAAACTTGTTTTATTTGGAAGTTGTCATTTGGAAGAGCTGAATATTTGCATGGGAGAGCTGAGAAATTGAAGTAAAAACTCATTGGAAATGGTTTATATGTCTAAATATCTCACTTCTCAATGTGGATGTTTAATAAGAGGGTTTAATTTTTCTTACATTAAGAAATGCTGATTTTTTTTTAATCTGGCATTTCAGGGAAATGTAGACCTTGTCACAAAATAAATGCTGCTCTCTAGGACTATAGAAAATTTGGTTTGAGAATTGATTCTCTTTCTTTGGTTATTATTAGATAGAGGTTGTGATTAGAGGGGCGAGAAAATGTATTTTATGTTTATCTTTTAATAAACATATCCAATTTTGAAAGTTTTAGCCAAAGTATGTGATTTGTATACAATTACTTATTACAATGTGAATTTAAGGACTGAAGGAGGGTATTTTTTCAAGTAGTAGAGAAAGTGAACCAGAGCAAGTCATATGGTTAAAAAGGAAACTAACATTTACACAATTATGGCACATGTAACTAACTGGACTAAAACAAAATACCATATTCTTTGGATGTGTCTTTCCTTATCCAAAGGAAAACCAAGTTCTTTAGATGATTTTGTTTCTTCTCCAAGCTTCCTTCCATTTTTTCCAATAGGTGAGTGTTTTCTTCCCTAAACCACCCAAAAGCTTTAAAAGGTGGGAGAGGGATATGCTAAGTGTGACATTTTCACATTTTTCATTGTCAGCCTGAGGATTTTATCATGGTTTTTTTCCCCTGAGATTTTAAATTATGTGTACTGAATCTGGGAATAGTCACTGAAATGATTATATAAGTACACCTAGTATTTTTACTTAGCTGATCTGTGGATGAGTGGTTTTGTTTTTAACAGTCCTTATTATTTGCAACACAATACTTTATAAGCTTTTCATCTTCCAGAGGGGTTTCAGATTGTCCATGTCCAGAAACAACAGTGCCTCTTCAAAAATCAGAAAGTGATTGTGGGCTCATGCAATGGGACCAGCCAGAACCAGCAGTGGCTGTGGACTGAGGATGGAAAGCTCCAGCATGTTCAATCTGCCCTGTGCCTGGGTGTCTCCAATTCCTCTGGTGGTCCTGTCCGAGCAGCTATCTTCACCCACTGCTCCTGGGCACCCCAATGGACCTGCTATGAGCAGGAAGGGTTCCTTGAGGTGGCAAATACATCTTTCTTTCTCAAGAAACAAGGCTCTAGGGTAGTGATCAAGAAGGGCAAGAAATACCTCCATAGCTGGATGAAAATAGATGCCAATGAGGAGGGAAAACTGATCAATGAAAGCCTCTGCTTAAAAAAAGGTGAGCTATTCCTTTCAGAATCAATTCTGAAAGTCCTTCTACTAAATGTCTTTAAGTTAAACCATTTTTACTGTGAATTAATTTCTCTTTTAGATGTTTGTTTTAGGAAGTCATGAAATATAAACTAACTGAATCACAATAAATCAGGCACCAAGGACCTTACAAATCACTGGAGAAATTCTCTAGAAATGATGCCCCTCACTTAGAAGAATGAAATTTGTCAAGGTTAAATAGATGGTTCCAGATCATTAGTAAAATACCTATGATTAGAACCAAAGTTTCTTAATTTCTTGTCCAGTATACATTCCATCACACCTGTAGTTCCCAAATGCATGACTATGGACTTTTGCCCAATAGGCTGCATGAGAATTCCTAGGGAAGAAGGATCTGGATTTGTACATAATGCTTGATGTTTTTAAAAAGCTTCCCATATAATATGAGTCCATAATCCCCTTTTGGGGATCAGTATCTACTGATACTGATCTTTTTCCTCAAGGGTTTCTTTTTGAGGTTGATAATGTGTTTCCCACCATGCTAATCTTTCAACAGTTTTCTGTCACTCATTTATTTCATTAAGTTAAATAACTAGATACCAATTGAATGCAATGGGGTCTTCTACAATGAAAGGTAAGAGTTATAGCTCTTGTTCTTATATCATTTCTGGCTCTGCAAAGAAGATAAAAATTTAAATGCCAGGTAGAAAATTCAACTTTGTCAGAAAATATGCAACATACAGTTCCAATTTGCACAACTCCTTTCCCATGACTCATTTATCAAACAGCACAGAAACATTGTAAATATCCCAGTTGTACATAGGAAGTGAGATGCTTCCCCAAGCCTTAGCAGAAGATTCTTTAATTGGAACTTTACAAAAATGTAGATATGGATCCACTATCCAATACACAAAATAATTCATAAACGTACCATCTCCTTTGAGCTTTGACACTCATGGAAAATATGTCCAGTGATGAACTTCAAGAGTAAAGTACGTAGAATAGATCATTTGTAGTTAACTACTAACATGCCATATCCAAAACATAGTCAATAGCACGAATTTTAAAATAACAACAGGAGGCCAGGCATGGTGGTGCACGCCTATAATCCCAGCACTTGGGAGGCAGAGGCAGGAGGATCATTGAGTTCAAAGCCAGCCTGGACTACATAGTAAGTTCAAGGCCAGCCTGAACTACATAGTGAGACCCTGTCTCAAAAAAATAAAATAAAAAATAAAGTAAAATAAAAAATAAAAAACAATAAGTTTCTAGAAAAAAGCAGTTAAAAATTTAAAATCTTATATTTGAATATATGTAAATATAATACACACTTTTGCTTTAACACAATTATAAGCTAACAGACATATTTTTCTTCCCCTTCTTCAATTTACTATTGATTAAAGATAAAAATGATATGTAACATAGCATAAAATATATTTGTTTTGCTAGAGAAGCCTCAATGAAAATTAACCAAAATATGGTTGCAATTCCAAATGCCTTTTTAACCTGACAAATGAATACTATAACTTAAATCAGTACAAATATGAAATATGTACATTATTCTTACATGGGATATAAATTTTCCTTTCATAGGATATGAATCTTTAGTAGAAGAAAAAAAGAAAGTGAAGGTAAACATCTGAGCCATATTTTTCATGTTTGTTTCATAAAAGAAACATTCGTGATTTCATTCAAGCATCCAAGCAATATTTATCTAACGCCTACTATGTGCCAGGACTTGTGCTGGTAACTAAGGTACTTGACACCATGATTCTCAACCTAAGCTTTATATTAGACTTAGGTGGTAGCTTTTCAATAATACTAATGCCTGAGCCTCATCCTCAAGGCCAATTACATCAGGTATTGTACTTGCAAAATGCTTCCTAGATGATTCTAATGTGCAGCCAAGCTTAAAAATCAGTAATTACTTCTTGCTCCCTAGAGTAACACAGAAGACAGATAAGTAAATATGCTATTTTATTAGAATGTAAATAGAAAAAAGTACCCATCTTCCATTACACTATGCCTCTATGTCACATTGAGCACTCATACTTTAAGAAATTTTTTCAGAGCAATTTAAAAAATTGTGCATTTTTTAAACAGCATTTTGAGAGTTCACTGGGTTTTATCATAATTTAACTATCTCAGTTCTCCCTAAGAGTGTGAGTATTGCTTTTCTTCATCTTCTATTTTACTCATTGAATAGAATTCCAAAGTATATTAAAATTCAATTTTAAATTACTGAGAAAATTTTTAGATGAGCATCTCCAGCACAGTGGGGTATTTCAAACAATTATTCCTACTCTGGTGATTTTCTTTAAGATAAGAATGTAAAATTAGCCTGTCTTTTAAAATTTTTCATATAATCATATTTCGTTGAAACCCCTTAATGCAACCTGTTAGCAGTACAAACAGAATAACAGAATAAAACTTAATGGAGCCTGGGCTGGGGATTTAGCTCAGTGGTTCCGGTGCCTGCCTCACATGTGCAAGGTCCTGAGTTCGATCCCCAGTACCAAAAAAATAATAATAATAATGGCGCCTAATTGGTAGGAACTTAATTAAATAAGATTTATGGATTGTATGGTACAGGGATACCTGTATGTAACAGATGACCAAAGTAAAGAAAATACTGGGTTGAGATTTTCATTGTTTCCTCTGAATTTCAAGTGTACTTTAAAGAGTAATTGTATGTCTCCATTTTAGACAAAGGAAGACTATCTCTTATATCAGATATACTCTTTTAAAAAAAAAATCAACATTTGAGATAGTTTTTTAAAAATTTTTAAACATACAACTATCATTCTTAGTAGTAGTAATAATAATAATAATAATAATAATAATGCTGTCTCCAAAAATACCAAACTATCTGGCTAAAATTTGACAAATATCATTCTTCCCATGTATTTTTTGCCAATCAGATACCAAATATTTAAAAACACTCATGTTATAAATTCATACAAGATAGACATCAATAATATAATAAGATCTGTTGAATAGCACTGAGTTTTTATATGATCACGCATTTGAACTTTTCAAAGAAATACTATTACTTTAAGAGTAAGTCTAGATCTCAAAGATTTCAAAGTTTTGAAACCTAACACTCAGAAGTGTAGAGCTTCCTGCTCAACTTGACCTTATACCTTAAATATAAAATTATATTGGCCTACATTTGGGTTGTATTTGTACATTAATACATTCTAGGAGTGTTCACTTGCAATTTTATTGAAAAAAATTAATTTCCCCTATGACCAAATGTTTTGCAAGAAGCTATACGGATGAAAAACAGAAAAAGTAAATTGCTACACTATAAATTGATTGAGAGCAATGATATACCATGAGTCTTTTTATGAAGTAGTCCCCTCCAGCCATAGGGAATATTTCTAACACCCTCCCCCCCAGATAGGTGCCTGAAATCACAGATAGTCCTGAATCCTGTATATACTGTTTTTCCTGTACATACACACTAATGATATGGCTTAATTTTTTAATGTAGACACAATAAGAAGTTAACAATAGGTAAAAATAAAGTAGAAAAATTGTAACACTCTACTGTAATAAAACATGTGAATATGATCACTCTCTCTAAAATATCTTCTTTATTTTTTTATTTTTTTCACCTAAAGGAAGCACTTTAAGCCTTCATTTGGCCATACCCAAATTGCCAGAGTCACTACTTTTACACTTCAGGGATATTATTAGGTAAAATAAGGGTTACTAAACACAAACACTGTGATACCACAAGTTGATCTAGTAACCAAGATGCCTACTAAGTTACTACCGGGCAGGTAGCACATACGGTTCAGATTCACTGGACAAAGGGAATATTCACGTCTTGGCAGCACTGACTGGCAAGGCTTATGATTTTATCACATGACTCAGAATGGTGCACAATTTAAAACATAAATTGTTTACTTGGGAAATTTTCCATTTAATATTTTTGGACTATGAATAAAATAGAAAATGAAACCACTGAAAAGGAGAGACTTTTTGTGTAGTAATGGGAATTTAATCCAGAGCTCTAACATGCTAGACAAGTCTTCTACCAGTGAACTACAACCCAGGAAAGGGGCTTTTATCTTGTCACCCACGCTCAACAAGTCCTGAATAAATGAATAAATGTTTCACTATCAGAGAGTGCTAAATATTAAATTTCTTTAGAAATAGTAAAGTTTTGAGGACTACCTTGAAGACTGTTGTGTTAAAATTATATTTGTTGCCTTTAATCCAAGTATAAGTTTTAAAGCCATGCCATCAAAGTATATGGTTGCATCTATTCCAACAGGAAATAGTCTTAGTCTAGCAGGTAGACAATAATTTTTTTTTTTTTTGGGTACCGGAGATCAAACTTGGGTCCTTGCGCTTGAGAGGCAGGCGCCAGAACCACTGAGCTAAATCCCCGGGCCTAGACAATAAAATTTACAGTGGCCCAATCTTGCATTTGTATGAGTCTACCTGATAGGGAAAATAGCTCTTTACTTGATTTTCATATCTATATAGGAAAGAAAGAAATTTACATAAAGGAACTTATTATTTTGAGAGTAGATCTAAGCAAATAATCTTTGACAGAGGGATATTAAAACACTGTAAACTTGAAACTGGCTTCAAAAACAACATACGCACTCATTAGCAGACTGTGTGAAAGTAGTTCTAGGTAAAGAGGGAAAAATCCCATCCATAGTTTGAATAACTTATTCAATGGTGCCTAAAATTGTTACTTTCACTCATATGCTTCATGTTGAGAGTAACACTGAATATAAAATCTCAGCCAACCAATCAACATGCATTCAGTACTTCCTACATATCCATTCATCTAAATATCGTATTTATCTGAGGGTAAGCAAATTTTCAAGTGTCCTTGTTGTGGCCAAATTGACCAAATCACTGAAAAAGATTTCAATGATGCAGTAAGCCATATTGTTAGCAGGCTGATATAACTGCTGGTTAAAGTAATTGTTTAATAAATAAATAAATAAATAAATAAAGTAATAAAGTAATTGTTTCATTATGGTAATTTAGGTGAGAGGATAAAATTCATAAGCACTGTAAAAGATGAGCAATCATATACACTATTGGGAGAAAATATTTTAGCAGAGATTCTTTGCTTTAGTGTCTGGCAGAAGTTCTTGTGAATACAGAGTTTGTGGAGGAGATAGACAGTGTTTTTCATATGTACAAATCCTAGGTGGACCAAGTTAGCCCTCATAGACATTTTATTTCTTTCTCTTTACATTATCAACATGGATCTTGTAATGGAGCACGTTCAATACAGTCATTGAAAAATAATATCCTCAGTGATTGTTTGTATGTAGTTTATATGATTATTGAAAATAACTGGCACAGGGCCAGGAATTTAGCTCAATGGCTTCATCTGAGTTGGATCCCCGACATGAAAAAAAAAAAAAAAGAAAAGAAAAGAACTGGCACAAATTCCATAATTTCCCAACCATTTTCAGCCTGTGACCTACTGTGGGCTTTGATCATTTTTGCCTCTGTGAGCCCTTTCCTCTATTAAAAAAATGAAAATAATTTAATAGATTTTTTTATGGGTCCTAAATTTTCCCGATATATGAAAAAAACAATTTCTTCAGTTTAATTTGTTATCTCTTCCAGATGATTTACTCACTTTCAAAAGGTATATTATTCTAGGTGTGGTGGTACTCTCCTATAATTCCAGTACTGTGGAAGGCTGAGACCGGAGGAGCTTAAGTTCAAACCCAGCCTGGGCAATTTAATGACTTAGCAAGACCCTCTCTCAAAATTAAAAAAAAAAATTAAAGGGCAGTGGAAAAACCTGGGAATGTAGTTAAATGTGAAGACCCTGGGTTCAATCCCCAGTACCACCAAAAAAAGCTACATTATATTTGCCATCTTCCTACAGAATAGAAGTGTCAATATAGTTAATATTTCCCATCTCCAAAATATGTTCATTTTGAAAAATATTATTTGAAGACATAACATTTTGTTTTCTTTATGCTTAGAAGTTATATATATCATTTAAAGAAGAGAAACAAATTGTGTATTGTCTTTATTATCATCACACAAAATCCCATTTCTATTATTTTATCTGAGTTGATCATAGATCAATTAATTATCAACTAAATGCACATTGCTCTTTTTAAAATGTGTTCAAAAGATGGTCTTGATATAATGCAATTATTGCAAATCATTTTATGGATGATACTTCCCTATTTGAAGAGCTACTTGTCCTAGAATTGTATTCTAGGAAGAATTTTATTATAATGTGGAAACAATATAGTATAAATATATAAAATAATAAAGCTTTTAAAAATAGCTTTAACACATTGTTCCATTGTATACAGACTTTTCCTTATGTGTGTTAAAACATCTTGCCCTTGCATGAAGTATGAAATGTACATACATTTTTAAAGAACAGCAGATGAATTCATAGACACCAAAACACCCAAAGATCTATTCTTAATATAATTTCATGCACCTATTTCAATAAAGAGTTTAGGAGACAGAAAAACAAATGTATTTTGATAGCCTTTTTATTTCTATAATGGATTTTCTTTTCTTCCATCTACTTTATAACCTTCCAATAACCACATAAAAAATTATTAGACTCTCATTTGACTCATATTACATATATGGCTAAAGCTATATACTTAGAATCACCTGGGAAACTTGTTACAAATGCAGCTTCTCGGTCCCATATCAAATCTTACATATCAGAGTTTATAGAAGGAGGGCTAAGCCAAACAAACTCCAAAGATGATTTTGACACCTATCAAAGTTTATAAAACACAGCTTTAAAATTTACAAATGTGAAAGTTGAGCATTAAGGCAAAAACTTCTTTCTTACTTTTTAAATTGCACAGTTATGGGCTGCAGTGAGTTCAAGACCAGCCTGAACTACATGGCAAGACTTTGTGTCAAAAAAACAAAACAAAAAAGCACAATAAACCACAAATAAATAACATAGTTAAAAATACGGACACAAAATAAAGGGGTATAGGACCTGAGGATTTTGTAGTTTCTTTCTTTTGAAAAAAAAGGAGGGGGTAGCCTAAAATGGAAAATGGACCTGTTTGGTTTAAGATGTTTTAAAAATATATAGAGAACATGGCATGGCTGTATAAAACATCTTTGAAAAGTAGGGTAACCAGGCAAACTCACATTCCGGTTCCCCTTCTGTCTCTCTTAGACAGGAGCTTTCTTTCTCTCGATAAATTTTTCCTACTCTTAAAATATATATATATATATATATATATATATAGAGAGAGAGAGAGAGAGAGAGAGAGAAAGAGAGAGAGAGTAGATTAAATACAATTAGAGAAGACTGATATTTTTTCAGTAAGGTAGTCATGCAATGACAATAATAAACTGTTATTAGCAAAAGAAATTTCAAGAATGTTTTTAATCTTTTATCTATTTTGAGAGAGTCTAGTTTCATCTATCCAATTGGTTATGTAAGTTGACTAATTAAATAAAAGTTCTTAGGATAAAAATTTTTCCACTAATCCTGAGTGAAGAAAAGTAAGCATAGGTTGACATACTAAGAAATATAATTACACGTTAGGTATTCAAAAGCTTGTTTTTTGTCCTAATCCTATCATTAAGAATATTTTTAAAGAATCTGAAAGCCAAAATTGTCATGCATAGTACTCGAATTAGAGGCTTAATATTGGTCAAAACTCGAAATGATCAAAATGCTGATCTCCATATATAGAAGGTTTTACATTCCTACAATAGACACATGTCTATTTAAGGGAACATTTAAGCACCTAATTTAAGATTGCAAAATTAAGACCATTTTTTCTAAAGGAATCTGATGATATGGTTGAGTTTGTCATGTAGAAAACATTTGAAGGATAAATCTCCTAATTTAGGTCCAAAGCATCTAACCTAGGCACAAATATAGTGATAGTGACAAAAGATTTGGAAAGATAAAAACAGGAGCTAAAGGGAATGACCAGAAGTCAAAGTTTAAACGTAGTAGATATATGAAGACAGTTGCCAGATAATATACACAATTCTCAGTTACTTCAGAATTTCAGATATATAGGTAATTTTTAGTATCTATATATTCAAAATACATAATATGTAGTATAACCTTTATATATTGTTTATTTGGAACATATTACATATACTGGTTTAAACCAACAATGTTCATTGTTTAGCTGAAGCTCTAATTGGGCATCACAAATTCTTATCTGCTAAATCTGTCAACTCTACATACAAGGTACCTTGCACAACCCTCTACATCTCAAGGAAATAATACTTAATAGCCACGATCATTTTATTATCTTCTAAGAGGATTGCTACTACTCACATCTTGCTAAATTGTAAAAGTAATGTTTCTATTGTGATCCTTTTCTCTTCTTTTTTTTTTTGCTTTATCCTCCTCTTATTTACATAAACTATCATGTGACATACATTAAAATAAAATTGAAATGAAAAGGAATGAGGCTCAAAAGAGATGTCAATAAAGCAAACTAGAACAAAGAAAGTGTGATGATTAATTACTTCTTTAGGAGACCTCCACCTGGCACATAGTAGTTCTTAATAAATAGTTGCTTGACTGCATGAACCAGTGAAGGAGTAGTGAAAAATAAAATCTTTACTCTGACAGTCTTTAAGTCAAACTCTTCAAAGTTATGGTTATTCAACTTGGTAAAATCTTGTGGGGGGGGGTTATCCCTGAAAACCTACCATCTATGGAGTCAGTGGAGACATTTAAACATATCACCTTGACCCATAATTTACAGAACTTTCCAATGGTTCATATTATATAACTGTTCCAGAGTCTTGCCCCACATGAGGTTTGCCACACAAACCACCATCACCATAAAACTTGTTGCAAGGCTGAATCGGACAATCTCTCCCTCAAAATTGAAATGCTAACAAGGTCTCTGAGAGATAGACAGTACATTTTTAAACATGGCTAAGTGCAACTAATTCAGAAACCAATATATTTTTTTCATTATGGGAAATTCAACCTTGCAGAGCAAAGTTATAAATTAATCCCACCAATTCATACATTCTAAATTAATTCACTATTCCTCCAAAAGTTACGTAGCTTAGAAAATACAGCAAACCCATGATTTGGGACTTATACAACTAGAATTAAAACAGATTGTAATGCACACTAAGTTATAGTTAGATAGAAGTAAGTTCTGGTGTATTCTTGCACAGTTGGGTGACTATAGATAACAATAATATACTATCTACACCTCAAAAAGCTTGAAGAAAAGATTCTAAGGGTCTTCACTATAAAGAAATGATAAATATTTGAGAAGATAGATATGTTTAACTTGATTTATATATTATATAATATATACAAGTATTGAAACATCATTGGTACCCTAAGACATATAATTTATTTTTTTAATGTGTCAGTTAAAACAAAAACAAAAAAATATATTTTAAAATGTTTGTTCTATGGTTAAAGAAATAAAATGTCATTATTCTTCAAGGAATTGTCGATCTTTATGATAAAGTTAGGAAGGTCATGAATAATGATTCTCAATCTGCTATTTTGTTTAGTGCTCCTTTGAGAAGCTGATGAAAGCTACAATGGTACCCTATAGAGAAATGATGCACATGTCATATACTCAGAATTTTGCAGAGTTTTGGAGATAAATTCCCATGCCCCATGAACTCAGTGGTCCTTAGATGTTCATACAGTCAATTGAATTCTGTCTTCTACACAGAGTTGGAATTTGTTTAATAGTACAGTTTTTACAACTCTCCCTTCACCATCTAAAATTTATGGATGGATAAAGGATGAGTGGACTAGACAGGGCAAATGAATTTTGTCATACACTCAAATGATCTTTGCTTTATTATATTACTGAACTTATCCAAGGGGTCTTCTTTTTTTTAAGTAAAATTGCTTTCATGCGAAGAATCCATAAAATACCTGAATAATTCTTGCAACTGTCCTTCCTTTACCTCAGCTCACCTGGGAGCAGAAGTTTCAGTGCGGAGCACTAGAAACACAACGCCTCCTCACATCCCCACTACATTTAATGCAGTTCCATATAGCCCAGAACACCTTATTAAGAACACCACAGAGGCCTTCTTCAGGAATACTACGGAAAACGACAGCCAAAACAGCAGCCAGAGGCTTCACTCCAATCTGCACATGACTGAAATTGCAGACACGTCATGGGTTCCATCGACTACGCAGCCTTGCTCCAGCACCACTGAAGAGGTAAAACGAGTAGGGGAAGGGTGGTTGTAAATGATCAGAAAGCCCATTGCTTACAAAGACTTGCTTTGCTAAAATGCCACCACTGCAGTAGGGAGCAGGCACTTTGTGTCCTAACCACAAATTGTACATGAGTGCATTTTGCACAATGAGAAAATCCTTGAAATTAAATTGAAGTTTCTACATCTTTCTAAGGTAAATGTAATTAGACCATCGTGACATGACTGCATTCCTATTAGCTTGGTTTATTTCTGAACCAAAATCAGGGATCATGGTTTTACACATAGCCTAAAACCAGGAAATATGAGTTGAAATCAGTACCTTGCAAGTGACCGTGCATGTGTGTCATAATTGTTTATACTCTAAAGGAGGGCAAAGCAATGGCAGATTCAGGAATTACTATACTTGATTTGAGAGCACAATCAAAGATAAGCAAAAGTCACATGCCCTTTCTACATCAGTATCCTCTGAGTGTGACTTACCTATGATCTTCTTTAATCCATAAGGGGACACATAAGTCAAATGATTGAGAAGCAGTAATGGTAGGGTCAGAAGAAGCCACTCAAATAGTATTTCTGTTTTGAGTACTCATTTCTTTGGTTCTACTTTCATCTGAGAGTTTTGAGTTACCATTTAGGCAACAGAAGTATAATTACAGCCAATTAAAGAAGCTCACATTGGGCCGGGAATTTAGCTCAGTGGTTCTGCTGCCTGCCTCGCAAGTGCAAGGTCCAGAGTTCGATCCCTAGTACCAAAAAAAAAAAGAAGAAGAAGAAGAAGAAGAAGAAGAAGAAGAAGAAGAAGAAGAAGAAGAAGAAGAAACTCACATTTGGGGAGTGGGAGCATAGTTCAGTGGCATGTGCTTAGCATGTGCCAACTCTAGGTTAATCCCCAGCACCAAAACAGAGAACAAAAAATAAAGTTTAGGTTTCAATTGGCAATATTTAGCTATTTTCTAATATGCAACCCAAATAATTTGAAGGAAATAAAGGTCCAACAGAATTCAATGACATAACATCCATTTGATGTTTTGGGTTCTTTTGTATTGTGTAGAATCTAATTGCATATGTGGATCCCAGTTAGTGAGCACATAATTCATTAGTGATCACAAAACAAATATCCAGTACACAGAACAACTCATAGGACTTTATTTTTACCTCCACTTTTCTTTTACCATAAATCTTCCCTCTGTCTAACCGATTTCTTTCCTTGCCTCTGAATAGAAGTTAGGAAGAGCCCATTACTTTCCTGGAAACTACATCACTTTAAAACTCTGTGCTCAAACTCTATCCATTAGTAAAATAATCCACACCAGGAATCTAAACTTTAAATTTGACTTCAGGGTTAGTTCCTCCTCTCACATCACTCCTCCCACTTTGGGTGGAAATAAGGAAAGGAGAGCTTGTCCGAAGTTTCTTACTCACCACCTAGATTTTCACCCACAGCTCATAGCTCAACAATTATGGTTTCAGATCTGTCTGGTCTTGGAAAATGGAAAAGGAAATGGGAGCAGAAGAGCAATGACTTAAGGATGCTGTCATGAACTGGCACTATGCTCTCCCTAATTCTCCAACATCTGAACCCTTTCAGCCACTAATGTGAGAGACTCACTACTTTTGAAAATGAATGCCTATTGGTGGAGCATCTGCTTATTTTGGCCGATTGTGCCTCAACCAAAACTGACACTCTAACATTAGTTTATAAGAGTATTCATTCACATATATATATTCATATAGTTTATAGGAGTATTCATTCATATATTCATTCACATATATATTCATTCATATATATCTTATTAAGAAACATATTGAATGAAAAGTACCATAAAATCATATCTGCCTGAACACTACCAGGTTATATTTTAGCAAAAAGAATTTTGCCCAGGTTTGACCACAGTGAAACACAGGGAAATGTCCAAGAGTTAGCTGGCTTCACTGGAATATGTCCCAGACAACAAGCTCTGTTTCAGGCATACTACCAGTTGAGCCAACCCAGCACTGTATTAGGGAACTCACATGATCCAGCCCTGAGTTGGGTTTTAAATCTTGGATCACAACCACCATTCTGGTGATTGTTAAAGGCCTTTTTCTAGAATGAAATCCACATTAGATGTGCATATATGAGCTCCAGATGGGACACGAGAATGACTATGCAGCCAACTACCTCATGTGCTAGCTTTTTTTTTAAGCTCAGGCAAAATGTTGACTATGTCCTGGGAAGCTTGTACATAAAAGCTGTGCTCTTTCCAAAGACAGTTTCTACAATTGCAGATTTCTATGTCTCCAAAGCTTAGTGCGGATATCTTTGCTAACTCAGAGCATTTACTTTACAACAGTCATTTATAAATAGCTGTAGTTAGATATTGTGAAATCTAAAAATGAGCCACTTAGGATATTAAAAGTCCATTCTTTGAAAGCAATTTCATAAGATACTACCTTGACCAAGGTGCCTAGAAAAGTATAAAAGAATAAAATCATTCAACTTAATTTCTTGAAATTGTATTTTAAAAATCTCTGCATGTATATTTTCATTATCATAGGACACCTGGTTTGTGAGGATTTTGAATTCACTAATCTAAATGAGCTGTGGATTCAGAGTAATCTGTTCTTGAATGAACAAAGGAAAAATTTGAATGAGTTTTACAGGTTAAGGACTGTATCATATACAAAAAATCTTTGCATTTGAAATATAACATTTGAAACAGTGTTTGATATATAATAAAATCCTATGAGAATAGAAAGAAAGAGACAAAGTGGAATGGAACAAAATGGAACGGATTTGAGGGGAGTGATATGGAATGGAACGGCATAGCATGGAGTGAAATTCCATGGAATGGACTGGAATGCCATGAATGGAGTTGAGTGGAATAGAATAACAATGGAAATAGTAAAATTTTATGTTTAGAAATGCTATGACATTACCATTAATTAACACTTGGTGGGCTGGGGATTTAATTCAGTGGTGCCATACCTCCCTTGCAAGCAAGCGCAAGGTACTGAGTTCAATCCCTGGTGCCAGAAAAAAAAATTAACACTTATGGAGTGATCATAGTGTCATAGATCCACAATCAAAGGATGAGTTGAAGTTGGAAATGGGTGAAAATATCACAAAACACTTCCAAAGAAAAAGTGGCATGGGCTGGGCGTGGTGGTGCACATCTATAATCCCAGCATTTGGGAGGCAGAGGTGGGAGGATCACTATGAGTTTGAAGCCAGCCTAGGCTACCTAGTGAGCTCAAGCCCAGCCTAAACTACAAAGAAAGACCCTGTCTCAAAAAAAAAAAGTGACATGTACAGTATTTGTTTCTTTCCTGTCATTAAGAGTACCTTTGAGTGATGAGGCAGAAAACATAAAGAGATGTTTTGTAGTAGCTAGAAAGGAGAAAATCTAGAGCATGAAAAAATAGCTAAGTTTGTGTGGCAGAACTATGCTAAACTCTTTCATATATTCTGGAGGAGGTATAAATGTACTTACATCTGTTTCCATCACTGTAATAAGCCTCCCCCAAAGTTAGTGGTATAAAACATGGCAGTTTCCAGTTGCTTATGATTTTGTTGGTTGAGTAGGTGATTCCTCTCCTGGTGTCTCCTGGGCTTTCTCTTGTTGCTGCATTCGGCTTGGATGGTGGGCTGAGCTGTCAGATTTAAAATAGCCTCCCTTGCATGACTTCCAGTCAGCATAGGCTGGAGAGTGACTGTCTCATCCTTCAGTGAGGCCACAGCAGCTTCTTCTTCATGATGGTTTGTTGTAGCTTCACAGGAGGGAAAAAGTACAAGGTTCTTGAGGCCTAGGCTCTGGAATCATATAATTATATTGAACACACAATTCACAAATTCACAAGCTAAGCTACACAGAGAGGTTGGGAAATAGACTCCACTTCTTGATAACAAGAGCTGCAAAGTCACACTGCAAAGGGGCATACACGTTTGGTGGATATACAAGTCACTTTCCTATTGCTAGGACAAAATACTCAACATCTGCAACATGAAGAAGGAGAGGTTTATTTTGGCTCACAGTTTCAGAGGGTTCAGTCCACAGTCAGCTGGCTCCAAGACAGAAATGGCATAGTGGAAGGGCCTGGCAGAGGAGAACTGTTCAACCCATGGCAGCAAGGAAGTAAAGCAGGGGAATAATACCAGAGAAGAAGGGGTGAGGAACCACGTACAGACCCCAAGGTCACACCTGCAAGACTCATCCAGATACAACCAGAAATGTGCTTTACTACAATTGTGGGCAGTATAAAAGCCAGTCAAGTTGACACAATCAAGCTTAAACTACCACAGTGGGGAAGTCTGTAGCCACTAAACAATCTACCATTTTATCATCATCATCATCATCATCACAATTCATCATCTCTGTTTTATAGCTACTAAGGGAAGACTTGCTCAGATGACGAGGGAGTGACAAACCAAGAAGAGTACACACACACACACACACACACACACACACACACACACCTGAACTCATAGCTACCTTATTCTCCACATATAACATGGCACCTATTAGTGAAGGCAAATTATAAAGAGAACATGATTTGAAATACAGAAATCACTCCTCATTAATATCACTACAAAATTGTCCTAAATTGACTCTTGAGAGCAGCATATTTCTTGCCCTTCTCTTTTTTCTATTCCATTTCTTTTCTTACATTCTCGCCTGATACTGTGAGTAGTCTGGCTTTGGAAATTTATATGCTTGGGCCAGTACTTGACCTCACATCTCTCTCTCTCTCTCTCTCTCTCTCTCTCTCTCTCTCTCTCTCTCCCCCCCCCAATGGCCTCAACCCTGGACATTAAATTAAAAAATACATATCATAATTCTAGGGTAACACCTGGGAAATAGTGAAATAGTGTTTGATTAATGTTAGCCACTGCTATTACTATTATAAATAGTATTATGTGGCTGTATGTATCTTCACAAAGACAAAGATAATGAAACAGGAAGCTTGTTTCTAGTATGAGTTAAGAAATATCTAGATCAGTGGTTCTCTGAACATGGACCT